CTAGGACCATGTTTTATGCGCTTATTCCTAAGTCACATCCCATATTGGTTTCCTATTCTTTTACCTAACTCACATTTCCCAAGGTTGGGCTTTGGTGTATAAATTAAGTTCCCACTGACCAAATGGAAAAAGACGTAAAGATAAGTTTTTAGAAACCAACCCAAAAAAGTGTCAAGCGCAATCTGGCCAAAATCCCGAGCGTGTTGAAAATCAAATCATTTGACTAAGGCATTCCACAACGAGGTTGATAACTAATTTAGAACATAATTAAATGAAAGTAAATGCACGAAAACATAAAGAAAGTATTTTTCATTGAATTTAAATGAATAAATAAGCCGTACAAGGAGTTCTAGCTTGACCCTCTTCTCTCTCGAGCGTGAGGGGAGTTGAAACTCACTAAAGAACTTTAAGATAACAGAATGAACAAAGAACGGAAGTAAGAACTTGAATTAAAAGCATTACGAAAGGTAAAAGCGTGAAAAACGAAGAAATGAACAACTAGAACATGAACATAAACCCTAAAAACGTGTTCTACAACTAGAGAGCAACTAAGAGAAGATGAAATGAAGCTTGGAATGGATGATTTGCTGAGGGATGGATGGCTTCCTTTTATAGCACCATAGGTTGGTTGAAACTCCCCTCCATTTTAAGTGGAAACGGGTTGAGATTCACCTAACCACCTCACTTGGACTTGGACTCACGGTTTTAAACATGTGGGAAATGTCATCCTTGCCAATCATTAATCAAAACGTGTGTTTTGACAAATTGCCCTCCAAAAATGCGCCAGGCGCAATTCTGCAAAAAACAGAATTCTGTTATTTTCTTCCAACTTTGACCGCATTTATCTCATATTTTTCCTAAAGTGCCATAGTTTGACTTTTATGCAGAAATAATCTATGTATGTTCTACTTTAAAAATATGTGGTCCTTTTTGGCAAATAATAATCGGAAATGGGTCAAAAAAGTGGTCAAACAGGGCTACCGAAACATGTTTCTACAGTAAAAAGTCAACCCTAACAATACACCCCACTTCATCAACAAATTTGTAGCATCATTACTGGTGAAATACAACATCATGCATAAAGTCTCCACAGCATTGAAAGGATGTTAATCCCGCAGCGGAAGTAAGGAACGTGTTCTTGAATTTTAAGGATACAAATACATCATATTGAAGGAAAATACAGGGGAAGGTAAACTTAAGGAAAATACAGGGGAAGGTAAACTTACTTTTGAGAAACCTTTCTTCAAGAAATCACAAACGAACACCACCACCGATCTTCTCAACTGTTCTCTAGGTACGAGAATCTGCTTGTGGGAGAAACGAACTTGGAAATTGGGTTAGAGAGAGATCTTTAGAATAGAAAATTACAGGAAGAGGTTTTTTCTTCTTAAGTTTTGTTTTATGCAAAACCATTCTGCGAAAACCAATATGACGTGAGGAGTTATAACAAACCGGGGAGTGTTTAATATTAATATTAATTCATATTAATTAATATTAAATATATTAAAATTAATAAGTAATAAATAATATATATAAAGTTAATTAATCTTATTAATTTATTAATTAATTATTAATCTAATTAATAATTAATTATATAAATATATATATATATATATTAATTAAATAATTAACACTTAATTATTTATTCCCAAAATAGAATCATATTCTAAAGCAATTCTCTCGTATAACCTATAGTTGTAATGTAAATCGTATGCACATTATTTTTAACCTATAGTTTTAATATGAATCCTATTCATATTGAATTTTATTTGAATCTCATTCAAATAATTACTCTCATAATATATACTTTCAATTTAGAAATAACCATATATTATAATGTATCAATACATATAATTCCTTGAGCAATTTGAAAATTTCAAATTCTTCCAAGAAACTAGATCCTCATTTTACCCGTTGTGAGCTAGCAAGGGGACCTAATAGACTTGCAGATCATAAGCTTCAACGATACGAGATTAATCGAGAGTAAATCAACATTCGTTAACTTTGGATCGCTCCACTAAAAACCCGCAAATGCACTCTTCTCACTGCATAATGTTTTTAGTATCCATGGATATACGACCATTAACGACAAGTCAATCCTTCACGAGTGCCTGTAACTCAAATTGGGTCAAATTACCGTTTTACCCCTTAGTTACATCTTACTCCTTAAATACCACTGCTCCTCTAATGAACAACCCAATTATGGTCCGACCAATAACCGGAAGTCCCTCTCAGGCTAGTGAGAGGGTGTGGCCCCTTGTTTAAGTCCCGGAGTCAGCATTTGAGAGAACACTCATCTACTCCCCTAAAGTCGGGAGGAGTGAATTTCATCTTGTGAAGTTATGATCCCAGCTCTCCACTTGGTCTCATCCCCAAAATGGTAGGAATATTGAATCGGCGACTCGGGCCACTCTCATCCATACAGATCAATGGACGAGCCTTCACGGGCAGGAGTCCATGACTCACTCAGGATTGAGAATGAGTTGTCTGATCATCCTATGAAATAGTAATCTGTTAGTCAATGGTGTTACATCTAAAGATTGGTTATTTCACGGTCTGGTCTTATACAAACTTGTTGTATAGGATACCCCCACTCGCATGTCTCCACACGAATGACCTGGATCGGGTCGTCTGTAACATTTACAAAGTGGGTTGTATCCATAATGTTTCCAAGGTAAGGTACCCAGCCTTATCCATATACTATAGACCCTTTAGATTATTCCTGAGACATTATCCACTTGTATG